GACGGAGGCTCTGGCGGAGGAGGAGGAGGGAGGGAGACTGATGGAGGAGGAGAAGGCAGGAGGGAGACTATGGCAGAGGAAAGGAGCCTGATGTGAAGGATGAGAGAGGGAGCTATGGCGGAGGAAGGAGAGAGGGAGACTATGTGGAGGGAGGTTTACTGATGGAGGAGGATGGGGGCGAGAGGGAGACTGATGTGGAGGGAGGAGATGGTGGAGGAAGGAGAGGGCGACTATGTGGAGGGAGGAAAGACTGATGGAGGAGCAACAAGAAGAAGAGCAAGACAAAGTAGAAGAAGAAACGAAAAGAAGAAAAAGAACTGAAGAGACTAAGAATAAGAGGATCGACGCAGATCAACGGCCAAAGCACACACAAAAAAAAAAGCCATGAAACAGGGCCTACCAGGCCCTGAAAAATTTTGCGGCCGCCGCCTAATTTTTTTCCCCCTTTAAGCCGTAGGCCTGCGGTACCAATTTTTTTTTTTTGATGTTTTTGGGGGGTGGCGCTGAGGGTGCCCGGGTGCCTGCCCGGGGGGGTCGCCCGGCCGGGCGACCTGGGGGGGCCCGGGCGCCCGGGCTGGAAAGCTAGTTCGCTGCTAAATTTCGAACAGAAGGTACCCTCGACTACAAGGTGCGTACCTTGTATTCGAGAAGTGCCTTGTCTGAGATGTTTCGGGTGTTTTTTTTTTTTTTTTTTTTTTTTTTTTACACTACCGGCAGCAGAGGTCTGAAGTATGGATATGATATGAGCAACCTCAATGGGAGCGCCCCCCCCCCGGGTGTAGTGGTGGTCATCATGTGCTGGGAAACTACACCTGTTAGAAATAGGGTCCAGCATCCCTTCGACAAGGTGAAAGCACAGCATGCAGAGGAGGATAGCATTCATTGCCCTCCTACAAGGCTCTCTCATGGGGGATTAACTGTCCTCCTTTTCTCATAATGCCAAGACAAAGCTTGTAGACTGCCACCTCCTTCCACAACAGTTCACCTCTCTGACAGTGAGTGACTGTGTTCGAAAAGGGAGTGCAGTACACAGGTCTGCTCAGTCTCAAAAGCTAGAATTGCTACCGCTCAAGTTAGAATGGGTTGACGTCTTGCATGTCCCGAGGAACTCAGCACTTAGATTAGGTAACCCTTGCCTGACATCGGGGTGAAAGAAATGCCGTTCTCCGACTTTTGCAGCTTCCATAAAAAATGCAATCAGACTCACTATCTTCTCACTTCGCATGCATGTAAACAGACGGCAAAGCACTTTGGCGCCAGGCGCCCACACAAAGCTCAGAGATATTACAGGTGAGAACACAGTTCAGATACAACTCGCTTCAAGTAGCTATGGCGCCTGTGCGCCCTTACGTCATCCCCACGTCACTGTATCCTCACGACTTGTTTCACACGCACACTTCACTGGATCTCCCTGGATGTCCCACACGCATACACTCTCACTGCACACACATACACTCACACACTGAAGACTACTCTATCCTAGCGCAGCTATGCCAGCTCGCTAACCCTAACACTACTAGCAGCTATGGCTGCTCTGTCTTCCTCACAGCCCACTTCGACTTCAGGCAACTGCAGACCACCTCGCACAAGACGCATTGGCAGCGCTTCCGCATGGCTCGCAGCAGAATGAATGAATGGTTGGGCGCTGCCTCTTGATTTATACTTTGGTTCGTCGCTGGTCTGCTCCTTTCCAGCGGGCCCTTGGTGCACACAGTCCGTACTTGCTTGACTGGACAAAGTGTGACTGAGACCGGTACCGCTGACTGAACGGGGTTGTACTGCCGACTCGATGCAGTTGGAGACTGTTGGACTTACGACCCACCTACCGACCTCTAGCCTAGCAGCTTCGACCTCTACACAACTGTGACCCCTACTTGACAGATCTACAGATCGAACCCCTACAACTACCTGGACCTATGACAGGCAACAGTCAACTACTAAGACACAGGTCGCGGGCTCAAACACACAGGGGCCTAGGTATCGAACCCCTGGGATCTGCATCTGCTTCTGCGGAGGTGAAAACTATTTCACTCCCGCCGKCCTAAATTCGAGGTCCTCCGAGAATACTCCAGTCCAAGGCAGGACCTTCACCCTTCCGATCTCTCTCATAGGCTCGGACTACATCGGGAGCGGTCTCTAGAAGTTCTGTTCTGGTGAACCAGCGGTCGTCTTCAGGTTCTTGGTAAGAGAATCTGACTTTGTACTGTTTCTGTGGACGACCTCTACCTCCTGTTCTGAAGACATCTTCACCTACTATGCGATCAATGTCGTACCTTCCATCCGTATCCGGAGGGATCATAGATCTCCGTGATGGAAACTGCTGACTCGTGGTGCAAGGTAACAACTTCGATGCATGAAAAACTGGGTAGGTATGGAGGTGTGCTGGAATCTCTATGCTGTGGGACGGTCCATCCTCTCCGCCCTTGACTTCTAGGACTGGCCACGGTGTGAGGAAACCCGGGGAGGGGCCGCCTGTTCCTCGCTGAAGCCAGAGGCAGCGACGTCTGTCACCCGCCGTGCCCGCTTCAGAGGTCCTCAGCGGCGATCAGGGGTTGTGGGGATGGTATGCCTGTCGCGCACCCTATTTGTGAGCTGGACCTGAGGCCCCTTTCTGAACACTGTAAAAGAAAAAAAAAATAAAAATAAATAAATAAATAAAATTTGCAGATCTGGCCTGCAGATCTGAAATATGGATCCGAGCTTGATCTGAGCGTCGCAATTACCGTGCGGATCCAAAAATCACGTGTGAGAGGTGGGCTGTCATTATGTCTATTCATCCACGAAACAACGATCTGAACGGTCACCTTGTTAGTTCATCCTTCCACCCAGGAGTTATGTCTCTCAATCGACCCTTGTCTCAAAACTCCGTGCGAAAACAGGCAGCTTCCCAGCCTAAAAAACTCTCTCTCTCTCTCTCTCTCTCTCTCTCTCTCTCTCTCTCTCTCTCTCTCTCTCTCTCTCTCTCTCTAATGTTGTGAGGAAACCCGGGGAGGGGCCGCCTGTTCATCGCTGAAGCCAGAGGCAGCGACGTCTGTCACCCGCCGTGCCCGCTTCAGAGGCCCTCAGCTGCGATCACGGGTTGTGGGGATGGTATGCCTGTCGCGCACCTTACTTGTGAGCTGGACCTGAGGCCCCTTTCTGAACACTGTAAAAGAAAAGGGAAAAAAAAGAAAAAATACAAAACTAAACTAGGTTGGGCCGCCGCCCGGCGGAACCGGGCGACGCAAAAACACAGCAAGGAATTTTTTTTTATTTTTTTTTGAAGGCGGGGTTGTGCTGCGCTACCCTAGAGGAACACGAATCTGCAAT